TATATATATACGTACGCGTAAAGTGGTGCAGCAGAGGAAGCGGGGAGAAGTTATAACTAGTTGTCTGTCTGTCTGTCGCTCGTCGGTGTGCGAACCATTGTAACGTGTCTGTATCACACGCTAATACACTGCTGCACATTTATCTATGTTGTGTGTGTGTGTGTGTGTGTGTGTGTGTGTGTGTGTGTGTGTGTGTGTGTGTGTGTGTGTGTGTGTGTGTGTGTGTATCGGTATGTGCGTGTATATATACCTCCAATAACTCATAGCACACATTCCCAAAAACATCGCCCAAAATAGCTTCGCTGCTGCCGAGCTCAGCGTCTGAACAGCTGCGCTCTGCCTGCCAGCGGCCCGTCACTCCCGGCTAGGCTTCTCATCATCTCTTCTCCTCTCTCGTCTGCTGTCGAGGGGAGATGCGGGGTGCTGGTACGGATGCTGCAGCACACGCCTTACACGCGAGCATGCCGGTAGCAGCTGTACGTACACTCGTTCGCTACTGCTTGCGTCAGCAGTCGTGAACGACAAAGAGAAGGGGAACGTGAGAAATACACATTCACTCGTGTTCTCATTATTAGTCGATCTATTAGTCGTGTCTTCGTGTGTACGTGCAAGCGCGCGCGTACGTGTGTCTACGTATGCTGGTGCCGCGCTGGGACCGGTTACCGCTGATTGTCCTATCGAAGTGCGCGACAATTCGTGCTTGCAGCGGTCACGCCAAGGACTTTGCTGCCCTCGAAAGAAAGAAAGAGAGTTCAAGAGAGAAATCGAGAGTTCAACGAGAGTGCTGCGTGTGCCTAGCCATGGGCAACCATTAATGCGATGACTGTCGCCCAATGTGTTAGTGACGACCAGCCAGTGCAACGTGCAGTGACCATCTATGAATGCCGAAGAGCGTCAATTACCAACGTCGTAGAGGGAAAGACTGAGTAAGAGAAAACGACACGGAGCGATATTGCTGAGAGAGAAGGGGAGTGCAGGATTGTTTAAAAGTCACGTTGGCCTTGGTGTTAATAGAAGTCGGCGTAACGTGGCGTTTCATTGATGGGCCAAAGCAGCCTGAGAATAAAAGTAAATTAAATGAAAATGAAAACAGGAACTTTCAGAGGAGA